GACTAATTTTTGTATTTTTAGTAGAGACGGGGTTTCGCCATGTTGGCCAGGCTGGTCTCGAACTCCTGACCTCATGATCCGCCCGCCTCGGCCTCCCAAAGTGCTAGGATTACAGGTGTGAGCCGCCGTGCCTGGCCCACCTATTGAATTTTTTCAAGGATGTGTTGACAATAGGTGAAAAAATAGAGAACCGCAGGCATAACTTGGAGTCTGGTGACCTTTAATATACACATAGCCCCAGGACCGCTCCCGGGGGAGAGGTGGTGACTTCCAAGGGCCCAACAGCCAAGCTGGGATCAGACAGCCAACCTCCCCTGGCTCCTGAGGTCCTGGCTTGCCCCAAAGACCAGCAGGGGAAGAGGCAGGCAGGCAGGATTTGAACACACAAGGGAGCTGGAAGTGACGTGTCCAGAGTGGGCAGGGGCTGGGCAGGGCAGGAGCGGTCCTTGCTGTCTCCCTCTGCTTTCAGCAGAGCTTTCCTCCTCTCTGGACCCTGTCCATATGGGAAAACAGGAGGTCTCCACAAATCAGGGACAGGAGGAGCCAGGTCTCTAGAGGGAGTTTTCTGTGCCTTGTTCCACATACAGGCGTGCAGGAGGCCCAGGTCCTGGGGCCTCATTTCAGTGGTGGAGAGGCCTGTGCCAGGCAGTGCCACTGATCTAGATGGCGATGGAAATGGCCCTGCCCCCAACATATGGGGCTGGCTGGCACCTGGGATGGAGGGGGCAGTGGGCATGGTCCCCAGCCTGTGGCTTCTCCTGGGCCTGGTCCTGTCTGGGGCCCAGATAACTGAGGCAGCCTCCAAGGTGGGCATAGCAGTGACAGCGGAGCCAGGATCAGCAGGAGGGTCAGGGACCTGGAGCAGAGAGCACCCCCGGTCCCCCGGGAGCTCAGGAGAGTGTGGCACAGAGCTGGGACCCTGACCGCTGAGGATGGCCCGGGCCTGGCTGCTGCCGGTTCCCTCAGGAAACCAAGAGGCGAGTTCTGGGATGTGGAGGAGCGGGATGTGGTGCCCACGGCTCAGGCTAGGAGAAGGGCCACGGGCAACGCTGAGAGACCAACAAGAACACAGGAAGCCGCAAGCCCTGAGCCCTTCTGCGGCTCAGTCTCCACGAGGTGCAGCAAGGCCAGCAATGGAGAGGCCCACAGAGACCTCCCGCAGGAACCTCACAGAGACCTCCCGCACAGAGTCAGCACGCTGGGACCTCTCTCTGCCACACAGAAACACACTGCAGCCTCCGCAGAGACCCCACGGAGCTCTCAGAGACCTCGTGGTGCCCCACAGAGACCTAGCACAGAGATTCCCAGAGTCCTCACCCAGAGAACCCCACAGAGGCCACACTGAGAGACTTCACTCAGTCCCACAGAGACCTCCCGCAAACGTCAGAGATCTTCCATGGTCCTCACACAGAAACCCCACACAGAGACCCCACAGAGGCCTCAGAGACTTCACACAGAGTCATAAAACAGGGACCTCATGCAGAGACTCATGCAGCTCACTGCAACCTCCGGCCTCCAGCTCCAGCAATGGCACACAGCACCCTCCACTGCCTCACAGAGACCTCTCTCAGAGTCCTCCCCACACAGAGACCTTGCCTGCAGATCTCCCCCTCTCCACAGAGACCTCGTACAGATTCCTCACACACAGGCCCCAGGCTGCTCCACACTCATTGCCCAGAAACCTCTCACACAGAATTCCCTCAGACATTCCACGCAGAGATTTTGTAGAGCTCTCACAGGGTCCTCACGGGGTCCTCACACAGGGACTTCATATAGTCCCACGGCCCCTCACACAGAGACGTAGCACAGAGCTTTCACACAGGGACTTCCCACAGAGACCCCACAGAGACCTCTGGAAGATAGCTCCCACAGAGACCTTCTGCAAAGGCCTCATACAGAGGCCTCACAAGAGACAACAGAGCCCTCTCGCTGCCCCATGGGGTCCTCCACAGAGCCCTCATGTGGCCTCACAGGTCTCCTCAGAAAGACTCGGATTTCACAGAGACTTTCCACATAGAACTCACGCAGAAACCTCACACTGAGGCTCCACAGAGACCTCACTCAGAGCTCTCACCAGGAGCCTGGCACTGAGGCCACCCACACGGCGCTCACACAGCGTCCTCGCCGTAGGTGAGATGCCCCTCACAGACACTCCTCAGAGATCCCGCACGGAGGCTTCACGGACACCACACATCCGTTCTTTAGGGGCCCGAGCAGCCACCTGTTGACAGGTCCTTTTCAGTGGATACAAAACCACTTAGCACACCAGCAGCACAGCCGGGATGTCAGCTGCACTCCCCAAGAACCCCGCGACACCCAGATACTGTCAGCAGTGCACTGAAGGGGCTTTTCTGCTTGGGGACATGCTTATACAATTTTTTTCTTTGGTAACGTCGCTGCCTCTGAAAAGAATTATGGATTCCACAGGTAGACCTGCAAATTCTTTTTTTTTCCCCACAGGTTTCTATTAGCTTGAATTCTGACCCACAATTTAGAGCATTCATTTTTTTAAATTATTTTTTGAGATGGAGTCTTGCTCTGTTGTCCAGGCTGGAGTCCAGCGGGATAATCTTGGCTCACTGCAACTTCTGCCCCCTGAGTTCAAGAGATTCTCCTGCCTCAGTCTCCTGAGTAGCTGGGATTATAGGCATGCACCACCATGCCCAGCTAATTTTTTGTATTTTTAGTAGAGACAGGGTTTCACCATGTTGGCCAGCTGGACTGAAACTCCTGACCTCAGGTGATCCACCCACCTCGGCCTCCCAAAGTGCTGGGATTACAGGCGTGAGCCACTGTGCCCTCCCAAAAATTTTTAAATGAGTAAAATATTACCAACCTTCAATGAAAGAAAATATCTTATTTGTCCAGTTTGTTATTATCCAGCCAAATTATATCAGTGTCATATATTTTTTAAAGTTTGGGGGGGATAAGACTTGAACTTGAGACGCCTGACTTCTGTACTTTGAAAATATGATAAAAACCTCTAAACAAAATGAACCCCAGAAATGAAACAAACCAGCAAAGAGGCATCTGGACTCACACTGGTCTCCCAGGGGACTGTGCAGCCACACATAATTTCATACAGAACAGCTTGGATCACGTTTGCAGAGTTCATTTTATTTTTAGCAAGCTAATAATCATACAAAGATTTCTCACAAATAGGTCAAATCTCTAGCAATATTCTTACTGTATCATTTGAAAAAATTATACTTCTTAATAATATTATTTTAGTCCTTAAAATGCAGTAATGTCCGCAAATAGTAGTATGACACGTGTTTCTAAGACATGACATAGTTCTAATGTTCCGCAAACATAGCTTAAGCAGATGGGCAATTTAAAAGGATTTATTTTTTAAATCGTTCTATGAAATGCACATTTTCTAAGATAGGCAGTAGGGATCCATTTTATATTCATTATAGGGCTAAAAAAGGAATGTTTTGAAATCTTACAAAACAAATTAATCTATGCTTGAGATATACTCGTAGCCTAATAAATATACTGAGGAAGGGACACATTAACATCTGAGTGGAAGAAAGTATACATTTAATCAGCATTTGTGTAATAAAAATGAATTATGAATGGCCTTACTAACTATATATGCGGCACTTTCCAAAGGGTGCACTATGCTAAGACTACATGCTCCTCATTGCTCATAAGCAAACTGTTGTCCTTGCCTTGGCAGAATCTATTTTAACATCAGCTGTTATCACTAGATTATCCAGCGGGATGACAGGGCCACAGTCCTTCCTCTAAGAGAGGCAGAGCTGACACCAAGCCTCTTTTAGCCCATTTGTTTCAACAAGAAATCCCCTTTCTATATTCTTCATAATTAAACATTTTTAACTTAGATTTTCTACTTCCTTACAATGTCACTGCATCGTAAAATAAAGGAATTGACATGGATCTTCAGATTGTGTGTGTATATGTATATATATACATATATATATAGAGAGAGAGAGATGTATATACATATATATATATATATATATAGAGAGAGAGAGAGAGAGAGAGAGAGTTGTATTGTGTTCTTTTCTTTTTTTTTTTTTTGAGATGGAGTCTCGCTCTGTCACCCAGGCTGGAGTGCAGTGGCACGATCTCGGCTCACTGCAAGCTCTGCCTCCCGGGTTCACAACGTTCTCCTGCCTCAGCCTCCCGAGTAGCTGGGACTATAGGCGCCGCCACCACACCCAGCTAATTTTTTGTATTTTTAGTAGAGATGGGGTTTCACTGTGTTCGCCAGGATGGTCTCAATCTCCTGGCCTTGTGGTCGCCCACCTCGGACTCCCAAAGTGCTGGGATTACAGGCCTGAGCCACCGCGCTCAGCCTATAGCGGGGACTACAGGCACCTGCAACCACGCCCGGCTAATTTTTATTTTACTTTATTATTTTATTATTTTATTTTTTTGAGATGGAGTCTCACTCTGTCACCCAGGCTGGAGTGCAGTGGCCTGATCTCGGCTCACTGCAAGGTCCAACTCCCGGGTTCATGCCATTCTCGTGCCTCAGCCTCCTGAGTAGCTGGGACCACAGGCGCCCACCACCTCGCCTGGCTAATTTTTTTTTTTTTGTATTTTTTTAGTAGAGACTGGGTTTCACCATGTTAGCCAGGATGGTCTTGATCTCCTGATGACATGATCCACCCGCCTCGGCCTCCCAAAGTGCTGGGATTACAGGGGTGAGCCACCGCGCCCAGCCTAGACTTTTTTTTCAATAGTGCAACTTATATAGATAAGTTTAGTTATCAGAACAAAATAGAGTCAAGTAGAAAAAAAAACATACAGAAAAATATACTTTTCAAATTGACTATTTTAACACAGTTAAAATAAGTGATTATACTTCAGTCATTTGATTTAAATTTGCTGAGTGGCCAGAAAGTCTAGAAACATAGAAAATGTCCATACTAAAGAGTTGATTGCTATGACATGTTGAATGTGCTGTTCCTCAATAGTAATTCATAGTTCAGTAATCTATGCAAAATTGCAATGAACAATGTGCATGAAAGCAACATTTCCATCGATCACTGTATATTCATCTGCCATACATTGCCTCATATGATTTGTGTGTCTAATTTCACAGAATAAATTTGAGCCTTTACCCCAGAAGAAACAATCAATGAGGCTCGATCTATTAAAAAGATATTGACAATATTTCCAGGCTCTATTAACATCTATATTTTATTTTTAATTAGATTCACCTAGTCCAAAGCTTGTAAATATTTTTACCATTTGTATGTGCCCAGATGAAATGGATATCAATAATTAGATAATGGAGAAAACAACACACACAGATCTTCTTTGTTGTTAAAATATTTTATGTCAGAGCATTTTGCTAGAAATAAAGTGATTTTTAATCTCCAGGAAAAAGATTGCCTAAATGACATTCAGAATGTATTACAAATTTAGATTTAGAATAGATTTATGTTTAAAACAGGCCTCATACTACTTTCAATAAATCGGGCACTACAGAACAGAATGTGGGGGGGCGGGGCGGTGACAATGATGTGAGGACTTCTTAACACTGAGCAAAGAAGCAAAAAACAAGTTGTCCTTCTACAGCGTTGATCCCTAAGAGTGATTTCTCTTCATAGACTGCGGTACAATTGCCAGTTGCATTATTACTATTTTACAAAGAACTCCCACAGAAAAACTTTCTGGAGGTTTTCCCCTATATACACAGCTACCTTTTCTGCCGTGCTCGCACTGTTGTCAAAGTACGCGGCATCCAACCACAGACCATCAAGGGGCTTGATAATTGCCTCCTCCATATATCTTGTGAGGTTGGTCAGGTTTATAACCATTTCTGTAACACAATTAATCCTTATAACTGGGCCCACGGCCTTGTGGCTTGTCACCTTTTCCAAGCAGGTGCTCTTCTTCTTGGTTGCTCAGAGGTTTGCTGCGGCACCTTCCCTCTTTGCGGGGGGCTGGCCTCCACCGTGTTGTAACCAGAAGAGCCCGCTTCCCCGGGGACACGCCTTCTGTGCTGTCCACAGCCACGTCACGCTGCTGCTGTGCAAATGATGCCAATTATAAATCTCAGAACACTGTAAAATAATGCTGTGCCACGCACAGTAGATGAGGATTTAGAGACGGCTTACGTCTTTTCCAAGAAACGTAGGTGACATCAGCCGGGCGTGGTAGCTGCTCACGCCTGTAATCCCAGCACTTTGGGAGGCCGAGGTGGGCGGATCATGAGGTCAGGAGATCGAGACCATCCTAGCTAACACGGTGGAACCCCGTCTCTACTAAGGACTCCCAAAGTGCTGGGATTACAGGTGTGAGCCACCGCTCCTGGCCTGTGAAATGTATTCTTGTGGTTAAACTGTCACTTAGCAAACATCCATA